AGAAATCATTGAAGAAAATGTCCCAGATATAAGAAAAGAATTTAAAGCACAACTAAACAATGCTTACAGAACACTAAACATGACAAAGAAAGAAGCTTATAAAGGCATATCCTTATTTAATTACCAGATGTCCAGAAAACAACAAAAACACAGAATTTAAAAATCGGTCAGGAAAAAACAAAAACTCACATATAAAAGTAAACCAATGAGAATTAAGCAGACTTCTCAACACAAACCCTAAAGGCCAGAAGAGTCTGGAATGAAGTATTGCAAGCCCTAAGACCAAATAACTTCCAACCCACATTAACTTATCTAGCAAATATGTTCTACAAAATAAATGGAGAACTAAGGTATTTCCATGAAAAAGACCAGCCCCAAAAATATGAGTGCTAAACCAACACCCCAGAATAAATACTTTTGACAAGAACAATGAAACCAACATAGCTAAAAACCCAAAGGAAATGAACTCCAACTAAGATCAATGATAAGCAACAACAAAAGTGTCAGAAAAAGAAAAACAAAGAAGTCACCAACAGATGTGAATGGTCTCAACCCCCCAATCAAAAGACACAAATTAGCAGAATAGATCAAGAAATAAAACCTAACAATATGCAGTATATAAGATACACATTTAATTAAAAAAACTCACAGATTAAAAATCAAACGATGGGGGTGGGCTGGGAATTTAGCTCAGTGGGTCCACTGGCCTCCCAAGTGCAAGGACCCGAGTTTGATCCCCAATACAAAAATTAAAAAAAAATCAAGAATGGAAAACTATGTTCCATTCAATAGGAACACAGAAAAAAACAGGAATTGCTATCCTAATTTCAGACAAAGTGGATTTCAAGCCAAGACTGATAAGGAGAGACAATGAAAGTCTCTACTTATTAGTTCACAAAACATTCAACAGGAAGAGTTAACAAATATATACATATATGCACCAAATGTCAGCCAACCCAGCTTCATAAAACAAGCACTACTGGACATGAAAAATCAGATAAACTTCAATACAATTGTAATAGGGGACCTCAGTACCACGCTGTCACACGTGCACAGATAAACTAAACCAAAACCAACAAAGAAATATCACAATTGAGAAAAACCTTTGAACAAATAGATTTAATAGACATCTACAGAGTGCTGTGCCCAACAGCAACAAAATACACGTTCTTCCCAAAAGCATATGGGATTTTCTCCAAAATAGACCACATGGTAGCCAAAGAAGCATGCCAAAGTAAATCCAAAAGAATCAAAATTACTCAATGCATATTTTTGGACTGCAGTGCACTGAAACTAGAAATCAATGGCAAAAGACACCACCACCAAAAGTTTGCCAACACATGGGAATTAAATAACACCATCTGGAGTGGTCAATGGATCACAAGTGAGGTTGAGGAAGAAATTAGACTGTACCATCAAAAATTAATGCCAGTAAAGAATACTGCAACCTATGAGATCAATGAAAGGCATCCTAAGAAGCAGGTTCATAGCAGTGAATTTTCACATTAGCAAAGCAAAGCAAGGTCAAATAACTTAATGATGCACCTAAGGTCCTAGAAAATCAACAGTCCAAACCCCAAGCTTACTTAAGGAAGGAAATTATAAAGATCAGAGCAGAAATCAATGAAATTAGGCTAAAAAGGCCCAGAATGAATGGATACGAGTTGGATTTTTTAAAAAAATATTAAATAGACAAATTTTTAATCCAATCTTAACAAAATAAGGGGAGAAAAGAAGCAAATCTAGTCAGAAATGAAAAAGGTGAAATCACAACAGATTCTGCTGAAATCCAGAAGATTATTGGGAGCTACTGTGAGAAATTATACTCTAATAAAATGGAAAATTCAGAAGAAATGAGAAAATTCCTAAACACATATGAACAAAGCTGAATCAACAAGAGATAAATATATCAAATAATCAAATAATCCAATCAGTGAAACTGAAGAAGTGATTAAAAAAAAAAAAACTACCAACTAGGAAAAGCCCTGGTTCCATCAGATTCACTGCCAAATTCTATAAAAACTTCAGAGAAAATCTAATGTCACTATTCCTCAAACTCTTTAATGAAATTAAAAGGGAAGCAGTACTCCCCAAGTCATTGTTGGGAGTAAGTATCAACCTGATTTCAAAACCAGAATTCAACCGACAGCGAACTATGGGCCACTCTCTTTAATGAACAGAGATGCAAAAATCCTCAGTAACATACTGGCAAACATAATACAGCAAATCATCAAAAAGATTATACTTCATGACCAAGTAGAACCCATTCCAGGAATGCAGAGATGGTTCAGCATATGCAAAGCAATAAATGTAACACACATAAACAGAAGCAAGGACAAGAATCAGTGATCATCTCAATAGAAGCAGCAAAAGCATTTGATAAAATCCAATGTCCATTCATGACAAAAATCCAGAGAATATAGGAATAGAAGGTCTTTATCTCAATCTGATAAAAGCTATGTATGATAAACCAATGTCCACTATCATGCTAAATGGAGAGAAGCTCAAAGCTTTCCCCCTAAAATCAGGAACAAACAAGGATGGCCACCGTCTACATTCTTGTTCAATTGAGTTCCCTAAATATTAGACAAAGCAGTTAGGCAAGAGAAATAAATAAAAGGAATATGGGTAGAAAAGGAAGAAATTAAACGATTATTTGCAACTCAGAAATCCATAGTGCTCCTGTACACCAACAACAAACTCGCCAAGATATTAGGGGAACAATGCTTTCATAATAGCATCAGGAAAAATTAAATACTTAGGAATTAACCTAATTAAGGAACTCCAAAGACATCCTCTTCCCTTTCTCTCCAACCTTAACTTTTACGTCTTCACTGTGGCCAAGAAGCTCAAGGGCGTCAAGCCAGGAGTTAGAAAATGTTTCCCAAGTGCTGCTCCCGGAAGTTCCATTCCCAGAAGTCTCATTAGGTCCTCTCTGTGCTTCACGGCTTGTGAAAGACCTGACAGGTACGCCGAGGTCCACCGGGCGCTAACCTAGCTGTGCTGAGCAGGCCGAGGTGACGGACGGAGAGAGCTGCAAAACCGCCTGTGTCCCCTCTCGTATATGTGGGTTTCGGTAGCAACTTCTTTTAATTTTGAAAGGAGAAACAGAATCACTTTATTGGAAAGAGGTGAGAAACGAGAAGGTACACAGCCACCTTGCTGGAGTGAGGCAGGAAGCCTGGAGCCAGGGCTGGGTCGTCTTTGTTCTTGGCCCCTGTTACTATAGACCAAGAAAAGACCCCCCACCGAATTTGTTACAACTCCATCCGCTACTTCTGGTTCTGACCCCGGACTTGGCCACTGACCCGCTCCACTGCCTACTGGGGAAGCTCATTAGCCCTTCCTTATCCTGCCAAGGTGCCATCTCTAAAACTGAGGACGGGCCTTACATACAAGGCCAAGTCAGCAGTCAGTAAGACTGCATGTACATTTGGTAAGAGTGGTAAGAGGATGAACATAGGTATTCGTATCTATACATCTGAGTACGCATTTTGCACACTGAGTGAGCTTTCTATAATACAGCCTCCTCCCCACTCAGCCTCCTGCGTACTTCACTGAAGGTGGAGAGAGAGGACGAGAGAGCGGGGGCCCTGGCACCAAGTGGGGCCAGGCTGCTTCTCAGTTCTGCTTCTCTGAACTGCTCTCTCCAGCGAAGGTTTCAAGTCTTTCCACTCACAGTTTGCCAGAAACCCCGCTGAGGCCCTTAGCTTTTCCCGCCTGTCCCCATCTTTCTCTAAGTGGTCGGAGTCACGGTCACTTGGTGAAGTGGTTCCCAGCCCTAAGGTCGAGCTTTCCCCAGGGCCATCAGGCAGCCCTGCAACCTGGTCACCCAGAGGCCCCTCCACCCAGCCCTGTGTGTGACCCGCCAGGGACAGGGACGCGACAAAGCTGATGAAAGTCCTTCCGTCCTCGTGCGGACTGCAAACGTGGGGATGGACTTCACCAGAAAAAGGGAAGGGAGAGGTGCCCAGGCAGCCTGCATGATTAAAGAATTCATTTACTTTTAAAAAATGTTTAATGTAATTACAAGTACATATTACTAAAGAAAAAATATATGTAATATATATTATATATAATGTATAAATATAAAGAGGAAAATAATTTTATAACAAAAATAACTAGCAAATAATGGTAAATAAACTCAAGAAATTAAAAGTATATTTTTGATTGCTAATCCATCACTCAACTCCTATCCAAAAATACTATTCCTTTTTTTGCATAAAACGCTTTAATTATTAACAAAGTGTGTCACATTCAGTATAATTTTGATCAATTTATTCTCATTTCACAATATATGTTATATATTTTGTCCTTATTTATACTTTCGGTTTCTCACACCAGAGACAATGTGGTATTTACACACGTGTGTCCGATTTATTTCACTGAAGAGTGTGGCCTCTAGGATCATCCAAATACATAGGAAAGTCTCAGATTTATGCTTCTTTCTTTTGTTTGTTTGTTTTGTTTTTTTGAGACAGGGCCTCACTGTGTCATTGAGACTGACCTGGAACTCACTATGTAGCCCAGGCTGGTCTCAAACTCACAGCAATCCTCCTGCCTCAGCCTCCCGAGGGCTGGGATGACAGGCGTGCGCCACCACACCTGGCTTAGGTTTATCCTTCTTCATGGCTGAATAGTAACCCGTTATATAAAGAAAACCACATCTTTTTTATCCATTCACCACTGATGGCATTTCAGTTGTTACATCCCAAGATGTTGCTATAAACATGGGTGCGCATATATTGCTGTGGTGCAATGCTTTTAATTCTTTTGGGAAGATGTCCAGAAGGAGGATACTTGGGTCAAATGGGACCTGTAAGCTTAGTCTTTTGAAGACTCTCCATACTGATTCTGCAGTGACTGCACCAGTCTACATTCCCACCCGAAGTGCGGAAAGTTCCTTTATCCCCACAGTCTTGCCAGAATTACTTGTTGGTTGATTTCTTGAGAGCAGCCATTGTTTCTGGAGTCAGATGGATTTTCAGCATTGTTTTAATTTGCCTCTCTCAAATGACCAGTGATGATGAATATTTTTCATGTATTTATTTGCTGTTTATACCTCTTCATCAGAGAAGTGTGTGTTTACCTCAGATGCCCATTTATGGCTTGAGCCTTTACATTTGGGGATCTGAATTTTTAAATTTTTTATATGTTCAAGGTTGTTTTGTTCAGTTTTCCAAATCATAAATGAACTCTTTCTATTTTCTGCCAAGTTTTTAAATATATTTGTGTTCACCAACATGTTCTTTGCTTTAGGATTTCGAAGAAATCTACTGACAATAGGATTTGGTCTTTAAGATCTTGAAGGAGAAAAAACATAAACTTTACAATATTTTCTGTGTCCACCTTGGACATTTATGCACACATGTGAATCAGTCTTAATGACTGATGTTTTGCCAGAATTGTCCACTGAAGGGAGTGACATGGTGCAAGTCACAAGTCACCTTGTGAAAGGGGCACTGTGGATGGAGTTTAAGAAGTTAAACAGAGAAGCAAGGAGCCTGCAAGGCCACTGCCAAGGTCCAGCTGAGGGATGCCGGTCACACTGCATCAGCCACGTGCCTCGTGTACTGACCGAAGACGTAGTAGGATTTGCAGTTTTGTCACTGAAACAAACGGAAGGACAGAGGTGACCTTTACTGGGACAGGAACGCTGTATGCGAAGCGTGTCTAGAGAGTTTAAATTGAGGTGTGCCAGGCTGCAGACACCATCAGTCCAGTAGAGATGCCAGACGAGGAGCCGGATTCTTACAGTGTGGATCCATGGGGGATACTGAGGCTGGGAACCTCGGAGGAGCCAAAGTACTCGGACCCACGAGATGATGTGGTATTCGCGTTACTTTCTATTCCTGCCATACCAGACCACAGTACACTCAGTGCCTTAACACGACAGACTTACTATCTTGTCATTCTAGGAGGAATAAAATAAAGTTACATCCCTTCCAATAGACTCTAAGGGACAATGCATTTTCTGTTCATTCTGTTGTTTGCCATTAGAAACTCGGGTTCTTATTTCCCTGAAGGCTGTAACCTGAGGGTCTTCCGAGTACGAACACTGCATTTCCATGACCTGTGCTTGCCTTATTCCAACTTCATGGCTGACAGTGGTGAGTGAAGTCCCTTTCACATCCTGTCTCTCTTATGCACTTTTCTGCCTTTTCATCTTCCACTTTTTAAGAACCCAGATGTATTAGTTACTTTTCTGTCATTGATGAGACAAGATACCGAACAAGATACCGAAGTGAGAGGGAAGAGGTTTACGTGGCTCACCGTTCACAGAGGCTCAGTCCACAGTCAGCTGGCACCGAGACAGGAATGGCAAACAGACATCCCAGAGGAGACACAACACGGCAGGCACATGGTAGCAAAGGCAGCAAGAGGGCCTGCAACACCATCTGTCAGCCCCTTTTATCTTACTCAGACTTCTATGGTCAGAGCGGTGCCAAACCAGTCACTCACATGCAGTGGTTTAGTAATCACACACCCTTAACTTTAGCTTCATACATCCCAGATGCAGCTACTTCTGAAAAAGCATGAGGCTTTGGGGGACATCTAACCCCAAGCTGTCAAACCAGGTTATTAGTTTGGCCCCACTCAGACAATCCTGAGAATCTCTCCACTTCAAGGCCTTTCATACTGAATCATCGCAAGGGAAAGTCACAGGGTTCAAGGATTAGAGCGTGGCCAGAACCCTAGAGAGATAAAAAGTAGACAGTGAACACAGGTGGCCTAGCTGGTCCGGTCTGAACCCTGGGATACTGCACAATTTAGAGGTGGGAGAGATGAGAAAGAAACCAGGAAAAGAATCTAAGGGGCAGCCACTGAGTTGGAGAAAAAGAATGGTGGATGCAAGGACAATGTTCTGAGGGGTCAGGAAAATGAGGACTGTGAGCCGCCCATGGGGTAACGCTGTGGAGCTCCCTGGTGACCCGGAAAGGTACAGTCTCGGTACAGTGGTGGGGCCAAGGCATGACTGAGAACTCAAGATGGGGGGATTTCTCCCAAAACGGTATCCGCATGGCCAGTACCGACATGAATCAATGTAAAACATATCAGTCCTTAAAGAAATATAAATCAGTCACAATCTGATACTACTTACATGTATTAGGATGGACAGTCAGTAACCTGGATAATAACCAGACGGGAATGGATATGAGGAAATCTTGATACATCCTTGTAGAAATATCAAAAAAATGATAGCTAGAGTGGATAATAGCAAGCATGAGTGAGGCTGGGTAGCGAGACAAAGGAAGTAGTAGGTATGTACACAAAGGAAGTCCTCTACCGTGCGGGACTGGCTCAGGACCTTCCCTCAGGAGGCTGAGATGACAAGGATCTGCTGTGTGCCTGCCAGGGTGGCTCCAGTCCGGAGGTAAAGGTCTGAGGACAAGAGGAGTCCTGGTGTGGGTCCAGGCTGAGTCCAAAGGCTTAGGAACAAGAAATGCCGGTGTCTGAGTGAGGAGGAGAGAGCTGTCCAAACTGAAGCAGAGGATCGATTAGCCCTCGCTCTATGTTCCTGGTCACCTAAGACTCTCGGGAGATTGGGTGATGCTTGCCCATATTGGTGAGGGCGACCTTCTTTATGGAGTCTAATAAAGAAAATGCTAAATTCTTCTGAAAGCAGAGCCACCCAGAACAGTGACTTTGGCATGCTATAGGCTAGTCAGGTAGGCACATAAAATTTACCATGAAAGAATGAGAGAAAAGGAGCCTAACGAAGGAAAAACCAGTGATCATAATGACAGTGTAGATGTCACAGAAGAAAGAGAGACAGAGTTAAAATAAGTGAAATTATGATCTACTGGGGGCCCAAATCATGTCTTCATCACACACTCTGGAGAACGCTGAAGGCATTAAAACCTCTGGATTAAATTCCACTATTTGCAAAACCGGGATTTTTGCTTCTCCATTAAATAGAGCAAAAGCACAAGTTTAAATATCCTGCGACATTTCCTATATGAGAAACCCAAAATATACTCAAAGAACAAGATCAAAGATAGATAATAGGAAAGGGAGAGATAGATCTTTTACAGATGAGAACGGAACCAAGAGGGGGGTCAGGGAAGGAGAGAGGGGGCGGAGCCATCGAGACTCCCCCAACACACACAGCCTATAAGAGCCTGAGAGAGGAAGCTGGGGCTCCCACCCACCTGGGCGCCCCATCCACATGCAATCCAGACCCCATCCCAGCTCTGTTCTCTGGGGCGCAGTCAACACCCCTTCGTAGGTCCCATGCCCGGCCTCTGTTCCCAAAGACAGGCTTGTGACCAAGCAGTGGAGGTGAGATTTCCCCTGCAGGGTCAGGCAGAGCTCTCCTGGGAGCGCTGCAGGAGCAGAGGGATCAGGGACCTCATCTCAGGTGCCAGGACCCTGAGTGTGCAAGGACAGTGGGAGCTGTGGGCAGAAGTCACAGGACCAACTGTGCTCAGGGAGGGACGACCACCGGGTCAGGTGACACAGACCAGGGCACCTGGAGCTGACCCAAAGCCAGCGGAAGTAGGCGACTGTGGGTGTCAGGCTCAGAGGTGAGAATGTCCGAGGAGCGTTTGGTTCTCCAGTTTCCTCCAATTAATTCATCTTCGTAGGCTGGCCTGGGAGAACAAGCTTACTGTAGATGCTACTGAGCGCCCCCTGTGCTTCTGGATGTTGTTCACCAATACTCTGGGAATACAAGACAGGGGGCTCTGGAGAAGCTGGGGGTGGGTACGGTGGCCCCAGAGGGACCTGCACACCATCAGTGCCCATTCACAGGAATGTTTCTGAATCCTCCCCAGAAACCAAGCTCTACACTAGTCAATTATAAATGAGCACAGTTCACACTGTTGATATTACAGAAAGCTAAGGCGGGGCGGGACAGAAATAACCCATGTCTGAGTTTAGGAAGCATAGGGCTGGGCAGTGGGTGACTTGTGAGTAGCCAGGCTGGCCACCACTCCCAGGTCTCACCTTGATATTTCCTTCATGAGGCTTCCATACTATTATCTCCATGTAAGACCTCATGACTGAAGATTGCTTGGTCCCGTGGCAATCCTGCACCAGAGTCATTGGCAGAATGGAGATTGATTTTGTGTACTGGGAACCCAGTAATGCTCCCCCCACCACAAACCCAAGGCCATCATGGTTACAGCCGCTCTCACCTCTGCAGGACCCACTTCCTGTCAGCAAAGTGCTGGACAAAGGGAGGCCGGGGCCCACAGGGTGAGCGGGGAGGTCTCAGAGCCAAGGAGGGAAGCGCAACCTGCCTTTTCCCACCACCATCTTCTTCCTCTTCTCCTGGATCTTCCACAGACACAGTCCGGCTCCAAGGAGCAGAAGCACAGCCACGAAGCCCCCTAGTAAGCCTCCCGTGAGGCCAGCTGTGGACCGTCCAGACGCACCTGTTTCCCCGTCAACGGGAGAGCGAGAGTCGGTTAAGGCGGAGAGAAGTGAGACACCGGCGCCAGGCTGAGAGGGAAGGCGGGGAAGAGAGGGCCGGATTCAGAGGCAGGAAGGAAGGAGCGCTCAGAGTAAGCATTCGCCCAGTTCCCCAGCTCCTGCATGACACCGGACGCTGAAATGAGCAAGCCAGGGTCGGCGCCCTGCAGAAACTCGGCTCCGGGAGGGAAGACAGAAAATACCAGAGGCCACACAGAGGGACCGCACCGCGACCGAAGTTTAACCCTGCGCCAGGCCTTCAGGGAAAGCTTGCTGGAGACGGTAAGGGTAAACTGAGTCCTGAGGGGAGAGCGGGAGGTTGACAGGTAGGAGGGGGCAGGGGTGGGCAGGGAGGAGCTGCAGGGGAGCAGGGAGCAGGAGCACAGGGAGGCGAGCGCTGGCCCAGAGGGAGAGGGGTCACGCTCACGGGAACTTTGTCTGAGAACAGGGATTGTAACTGACACTGACGGGACAGATGCCTGCACCGCCCCTGGAGGAAGGTAAAGAGGAGAGGACGGCTCCCAGCTCCCAGGCCATCCAGGCACTCACTAGAACGTCTGCTGCAACTGTGACACCTGCTGTACCTGGCCGAGACGCCAAAGAGAGAACAGACCTGCATCCCCCGCCCTAGAGGCATGGCAGCTGACGGAGGACTGCGGTGCACACTGACCAATGCTGAGTGGCCTGGGCGGCCTAGAAGAGGACACCTCACAGGCTCTCAGGGGCAGCGCAGTGTCACAGGCTACAGCAGCAGCTCTGTGTGGCCTGGGCCCGTGCGTGGACAACGTGGGCGGAGAACTTGTGAGCCCTGCGTCCTACAGGAAGGAACAGGGGTCAGAACCGGAGATGAGCCCGGCACACGCCCCACTCTGACCTCCTTTTCCACAGCCCACTCTGTCCCTACAGTGAGGGACAGATGAGCCGGGAGAGGCACCGCTGCCTGCACCAGCGGGGAAGGGCAGGGATGTGAGGGACATTTACAGGCAGACGGCAGTGGGATGCGACTCCAGACCTCTGCCTGGGGTGACCGGGTGCAGGTGAGGAGCCACTGAAGCCTGCAGGGAAGAAAGTCAGGAGGCCCAGACTGCAGGGCTCCCTGAGCTCCAGGAAGCCCTCCCCTCCAGCAGGGGGCGCTCACCTGGTGGACAGATGTCGCGCAGGTCTGAGGTGGCTCTGTTCTGGTCCACGGGGCTGCTGACCACACAGGTGAGGCTCCCACTGGCCTGGCTCAGGGGCAGGCTCACGGCCTGGGTCCAGGCGTTGGGGGCCGGTCCTGGTGTCCACGTCTGCTCCAGCTCCCTGGGGAGGCCCTTGCTCTCCCAGGTCACATTCAGGTCCTCTGTGGGCCCTGTGGGCCTGCACTCCAGGGTGACATTGCACCAGCCTGCTGTGACGGACAGGGCCTCGGCCACGATCTGCGGAGGGGACACTGGCTCTGGGAAGTGAGCACAAAGGACAGCCTCACATGTGTGGAACACGTGACCTGTGTCTCCCCTGAACCCCATCTCACTGAAGCCCAGAATGCCCCGTGAGGGAGGAGCACTTTACAAACAAAACACGTTTGCCTCAAGCTAAATGCTGAGCAAGTGACGGTAGCCACTGACCTGAGCCTCAGCTGATTTCCCTAGGTAAGCAAGTGTGACAATTTCTCCATGAGAAAAGGATAGTCCATCCCCTTCCAGGGACCATGATCTCCCACACACGGGGCCCCTTCTGGAAGGGGAAAGGGTCTGGGACAGAAGGGGACCAAGCAGAGGACCGCGGGTCACCATGGAGCAGTGGACAGCGGAGAGAGTGGGCTGCTTTCCTCTGGAGCCCGCAGAAGGGAGCGCAGCCCTGCTCACATCATGACTTCAGCCCAGGAGAACCGTGTCTGGGGTCGCTGCAGCACAGTAAGGAACTGCATTTGCGGCACTGATGCCAATAGTGTGTGTTAATTTATTACAGCAGTAGTAGAGATTGATTTGAAATTAAGCAAAAAGTCAGACCTATGAAGAACTAATGTATTGCAAATTTCGGCAAATGCCCAATTTCCTCCCCCAAAGCACTGGAGGGATCTTCTCTCCCGTACAAATCTCAATTTAGGTTTTTGTGTTAAAAACACCACACTTAGAAGAGAAATTACATATCAGCGGCTGCAATCTGAATAGATTCCTGCAAATTTTGGTCTATGAGAGCCTTAGGTTCCAATTAGAGGGAGGCCATTAGGTTCGGGTTAGGCTGAGGAGGTGTCACTTACCGTAGACCTTGAGGTGGAAAACCTGGTAAACAACTTTTTTGTTAGTTGACAGAACATATGCCGTGTACCGCCCGCTGTCCTGTGGGGTCAGGTTCCTAATCTCCAGGGAGGCCATGTTGGGCATTTGGACCCTTCCTTTGTACTTGTCCTGTAGACTGAACCATGTTGGAGCATCTGTCCCACCGTGGACTCTCAGCATCATACTGAGCCCTGATCCAGAGGAAAAGTGCCAGGTGATCTCCTCCACCGTGGCTGATACATCTTGTCCTGGCCACTGGGACACATGGAAACAGACAGAACCTCCTCGGATCCCCTTCATAAGAACAGGGACTGCAGAGTCTTCATTCCCAGCACGGTGCCCTCCAGAGCCCTGGGCCGAACAACTCCACACACCTGAGACATTGAAGGGGAGACGTGAGCCTTTCCTCCCCGAGAGGCAAGGAGAGAAACAGCTGTTCTCTTCCACCAGTCCACCCAGTGCATGCCTTGATTTTCACATGGCCCCGTACAGCACATGGAAGCAATTCTGGGACTGAGCCGGATCCGCGCAATGGGACACGGAGGGTGGGGGACGCACTGACCCGATGGCCTCAGGGGTTTTCCTGCCTCGAAATGGCGGTGTGAACTGGAGGAGCCGTGGATCCAAAGCATCGGGCCCATCACTGGGCATAGGGTAGGTGTCCGACTGTAGGAGGCAGCTTCTGAAGCAGCTCCCAGGAGCCCTCCTCCTGTGCCCCCCGTGTGCAGTCCCCAGACTGGGGTGCAGAATACCACAAGAATGGCGGGGTGTCACCGGCTGCATCCACAGAGGACACACAGCTCTGGGTTCACACTGGCTCCCGTCCTTCCCTGCCTCCTGCTGCCTCTGATGGACTCGGCTGCCCTGTCGTGAGCTGCGCTGTGCAGAGGCCCCGCGGGGAGGGGCTGAGGCAGCCTCCGAGCTCCAGCCAGCCACGGGG